TTGGGAAAGTGTGAAGGCAAGAGGAGAAGGGGATGACAGAGGACAAGATGCTTGGACAGTGTCACTGAAGCTACCGACATGAATTTGATCCAACTCCGGGAGGCAGTGGAAGACTGGAGGGCTTGGCGTGCTGTGGTCCATGAGGTCACGAACAGTCAGACATGACTTAACAACTAAATAACAACAACAACCCCGCCCATCTACTCAAGAGGAGCAGTAGTTCTTGGTACTTCTTGGTGCTGCTCCTCTTGAGTAATTTTATTTTGTTTCATTTTCTTCTTGACATGGATATATAAATTCATTATTAATGTACAGATCATGAATAGGAAGTATGCAAATAAATATATTTTACCCTGCTTATTTAACTTATATGCAGAATACATCATGCGGAAGGCTGGACTGGAGGAATCCCAAGCTGGAATTAAGATTGCAGGAAGAAATATCAACAACCTCTGATATGCAGATGATACCACTCTGATGGCGGAAAGTGAGGAGGAACTAAAGAACCTTGTAATGAGGGTGAAAGACGAGAGTGCAAAAAATGGTCTGAAACTCAACATCAAAAAAACTAAGATCGTGGCCACTGGTCCCATCACCTCCTGGGAAATAGAAGGGGAAGATATGGAGGCAGTGTCAAATTTTATCTTCCTGGGCTCCATGATCACTGCAGATGGAGACAGCAGCCCCGAAATTAAAAGACGCCTGCTTCTTGGGAGGAAAGCGATGACAAATCTGGACAGCATCTTGAAAAGCAGAGACATCACCTTGCCAACAAAAGTCCGAATAGTCAAAGCTATGGTTTTTCCTGTAGTGTTGTATGGAAGTGAGAGCTGGACCATAAAGAAAGCTGACCGCCGAAGAATTGATGCCTTTGAATTGTGGTGCTGGAGGAGACTCTTGAGAGTTCCCTGGACTGCAAAGAGAACAAACCTATCAATTCTAAAGGAAATCAACCCCGAGTGCTCATTGGAAGGACAGATCCTGAAGCTGAGGCTCCAGTACTTTGGCCATCTGATGAGAAGAGAAGACTCCTTGGAAAAGACTTTGATGTTGGGAAAGTGTGAAGGCAAGAGGAGAAGGGGACGACCGAGGATGAGATGGTTGGACAGTGTCATCGAAGCAACCAACAGGAATTTGACACAACTCCAGGAGGCGGTGGAAGATAGGAGGGCCTGGCGTGCTCTGGTCCATGGGGTCACGAAGAGTCGGACATGACTAAACGACTGAACAAACAATGTTTTTGGTCTTGCTATTCAAACAACAGAACACAGTCTGTTCTTTTTTGAATGTACAGTCTGTCTTCCGACCAAGGAATGGCACTCAAGGAAGGCACTATCTCTCCAATCAGTGTATAATCCCACTGTATTCAAATATATTAAAATGTTTGTATGCATTACCTCCAATGACATTCTATATCAGTGGAGCTCAGAGTTTCACTATTCTTCCAAAATATGCCACTGCGAAAGTAAGATACCCGTATTTTTCGCTCCATAAGACGCACCTTTCCATAAGACGCACCAATTTTTTAGGAGAAGAAAACAGGAAAATATAATTTGTTTTCTTAGCTCCATAAGACGCACAGACTTTCCACACCCCTGTTTTGTGGGAAAAAAGTGAGTCTTATGGTGCAAAAAATACAGTACATGAAAGCCAGTGGAACACCCAAGCTTTGCTCTCCAAGACAAAACGTGGAGTCATATTTCACACATGAACATGTTGTGCCGCAAGCCTCCCTGTGGAGTTTTTTTTTGGGGGGGGGGGCTACAATGAAAGATGCCCTTTCCCACATGATGAGGACACTTGGGAAAGAGGCTCTCATGAAAATCTAGGTACATGTGGAAATAATTAGTCTTAGTTCCCTAGCCTAAGCCATGAAGAACATTAAAAGCAAAACTAGGAAAAATATCAGGAACCAATGGGCAAAATCTGGTTGCTTACCATATTGTATCACACTTTAACATAGTAAGTCACCAAAAGATTCAGTCAGAGGGTAAGAAACTGACACATGCAGTGTGCTCCATCACAAGAGTACTTACCTCTGCTTTGATAAGATCATGAGAAGTGGAATCAATGGGACATAGAAAGTGATAAGAAAAATGGCCACTAATTTCAATGGAACTACTTCGATGATTTTTGGCTTAACAATTTATGTTCACAGACAGAGTTCTAACTTCTGTCCTCTGAAGATGCCGGCCACAGAGACTGCCGAAACCTTAGGAAGAACAACCTTCAGAACACGGCCAAAGAGCCCGAAAAACCCACAACAACCAATCTCAATTTGAGATAGTAAGTAATGCAGTCACTCACTCTTCTCAATAAAAACCTATTTTGTCTAAATGTGCACTGCTTGTTTTAAAAGCAAAGCTCAGCCAGAGGCTGGCCACTGTCTGTCCCATTCACCTCAATCAATCTCAATTTGAGATAGTAACTAAAGCAGTCACTCACTCTTCTCAATAAAAACCTTTAAGGAGACTCGATTCTTTACTGAAGCATTCAATTTTGAAAAGTTTGATTCTCAGGCCTACCCTATAGAAACCATATCTGAGCATGTATAACTTCAAAAACTGTTCCCAGGTCATCATTTTGTAATGCTTTTCTTGACTACTATGCAGACACAGCAGGGCATCATTAGCACCAATTTGGACGGGGACTTGTCTTTGGCAGATTCAGGCCAAATTAGCCACAGTTCAGTTTGCAGACTGGTCTGTCTCTTGTTACAACAAGACTCAAGAGGACGAGGGAGGTCTTCATTGATCAACTTTCCTCATATGTCACCATCAAAGTTGTCTCACTTTAGGAATCAAAGTCAAAAACAAATAAAGGCACAGAAACAACCAGTAAATAATTTCAAAGTCAGTGCATGTGTTGACCTATCTGAGCATAAGAAAGGCATTTTGTGGCGCCCAAGAATAACACACATATTATAGCACAAGCTTTTGTGGATTTGACAACTAAAATATTACTGTCGGTTGGAAGGTTGACAAAGGTGCAGAAAAGGGAAGGTGATTTCAACCATGCAAGCAGAAAGATACAGGAAAAGACAGGCTGAAATCTAGCAGTAAGTGGCAACAAGGATAGGCCCATTGAAGCGGAGGGAATTTGGTGAGTCAACTCCTCTGTAAGTTCTACTGATTCAATGGGCTTACTCTAGTTGTCCCTTACTACTGGATTCCAACCACAGACTACAATGAAGACACAGAACGAAAAAGCGTGCAAAATATAGTGGCCACTCACAAAGCAGCGCGGATGCTGCTCTGTGAGTGGCCACCCCTTTCGCCACAAGTGTGGCTAAGCCCCACGACGAATCTGTCAGCCTTAAAGTTGGGGGCAGCGGGGGGGGGAGAGAGACACCAAACCCTGCAGAATACACTCACCCGCTGGGCCGCAGCCAAGTGCCGGCACCCCACCTTCGGGCAGCCCCTGGAAGGAGAAAGGAAATTCAGATCATCATCATCATCATCTTAGAACTACAGAGCTGGAAGGCATCCTATGGATCATCGAGTCCAGCCCCTCTCACGGGAGACCCAGTGGGGAACTGAACTCCCAACTTCTGGTTCTGCAGCCAGAAACCTAAACCACTCAGCTCTACCCAAGATGTGCCAGCTTTCCTTTAAAAACTGAAACATCCGACAGGCACGCCTGCAAAATAAAGCTCCTCGCGGCCCTCGGCCACCCGCTCACCGCAAAGCGCCGCCATAGCTGCTCCAACCCTGGACCGAGACCCGACCGCCTTTACGACACCGGGCTGGGCGAGCCGGATGTCCTAAAGCAGCCACCGTAGCTCCGCGCGGGTGAGACGGCTTTCTTGCGACAGCACGTGGGGGAGTCGGGGAGGCGCTTGACGGCCAGGCGTGGCGAAGAGGCGCCGGGTGTCCCTAGGAGCCAGGCTTAAAACTTGAGGCGCGCTCGAGATGGAGGCGAAGGCAGCGGCAGCCGTCGAGCGGGTGTTGCCGGCCTCTCCCAACTGGTACTGCAGCCGGTGCAGCGACTCCTCCAAGGATGGGCGCCTCTTCGGCTTCGCGGCTCGCCACGCCGTGTACCTCCTGGAGGTCCGCGGCGCGGCGCCCTCCTTCTACGGTACGGACCGGGGCTGAGAAGCCTCCCTTCCAGGCAGTTGAGGTGGGAGGGACCCGGCGGAGGCCTCCTCCTCCTCCTCGTCGTCGTCCCATGCCCGCGTCGTCTTCGCAATGTTTGAAGCTTTCCCTATACTCGTGTAATGGTTTCCGCCTCCCCGAGTTCATGGAAGGGGGCATGTTTTTTACCTGCAGGACGGGGCCGTGTTCGGGCGCCTGCTGTGCATGGAGGAAGGGCCAGGTTCAAACCCAACCGCCCACCCCCTGTATCTCCAGGTCGGACTAGGAAAGGGGCCTGAGGGAAGCCCGGGAGAACCTCTGCTAGTCATTGAGGACAGCAGGCTCTCGAGTCTGGAATTGGTGTAAAGCAGTTGCCTGTGCTTCGGCATTTATTTATTTACTCGTTCATTTATTTAAAATACGTTTACCCTGCCTTTCTCCTTAAGAAGAACCCAAGGCGGCTTACAGCATTAAAAGGCAATATTGTAAATGCAAGAATAATGGATACTGAGGAGGAAGCATGTGTAGACAGTTATCAGAGGGCGTTTCCCCTTGTTCTCTGCTTGTGAACTTACTTCAGTGGTGTCTGATAACCTCTATAGTGCCTTGATCTGATGCAACGGGGTTTTCTTGTGTTGCTGCCATGTTTCTGCACTAGGCTTAGAAGGGGGGTCTATTATGCCCCCACTACTCCAGACATGCCAGAAACTGAAGCAGATGTATTATACACACAGCATATCTGTTTGTGTGACATAGTGCATGGTGATCTACAAGCTGCATTTCTTCTCACATTTAGATAAAACGGGGTCTTTCCCACCCCTGGTTAAGCCATTGTGGGAAATGTTAAAATACATTTTGTGGGAAGTTAATGAGTTCCCTCATTAAGTTCAGAAAAACGAACTAGTAGTAACTCATCAACCTAATATTGGAATAGAAATTAGACAAAGGTAAGAAATAATGTAATATTAAACATAGTTAAGAAGTAAAGCAAGAAGTGCATAGACAGTAGCTTGTAGTTATAAGCACCTTTTGCTGATAGTTTGCACCTGTAAATTGGAAAGTTGGTGATAACTCTTTCCTTCTGTACAGTATACCTCACTCCCCAGAGGCTTGGAAGACCTTCCAGAGCAGATTTGAGTGTGGCAGGTCTTCCATTGTGGTGGTCGTCTGTTTACATGCTATGGACTCTCCCACAAAGCCTTTGCATAGGTGGTGTTATTAAGAATCCTTTGAAACCAAAAGTTGATTTATTGTATCTTTCAATCTCGTATCTTCACAGGGGAGCTAGCTAGCCACACTGAAAGAGTTTCTGGATTCTCGTTTTGTCCACACTCTGGTCAGAATAACTACTGTGTTAGTAGCTCTGATGATGGAACTGTGAAAATCTGGGATGTACATACATTGACTGTTGTGACGGAACATATGCTGCACCAGGTAAAACAGTTGACTCTGAAGCTCTGGTTGTCATGTGCAAATTTTGCTAGACTTTTCCACTGTGAAATTGCGGTTTTATGAGACAGCTGGATATGAGGAACACATAAAAAATGTTTTAGGGAGATTTTATTCTGTGGTGTCAGATACGAACCTTGAGGAAAAGTTGGCTAATTCACCTTATTTTTCTCAGTGTTGAATCTCTACCTATCTTTTCATTATACTTTGCTCCCTTGTGTTATGTTTTGGCTGTAGATTTAGTCATTTTTAGATAAGATCCATTATGATCTTTGGGATAAGTAAGATTTAACTGAGTGTACATGAGCAAGATTAAGTATGGATTGAATTATATTTTTTTCTCTAGTTGCATGTTTAGGGACTTTTTTGTTGCCATTGTTTTTCTGTTTTCTTTTTCTAATGTGTTCCAACATCATGATTGGACAAGATATAGTGTAATTTAGGTGGAGGAGAAGAAAATACTTCATCACATAGACAATGATCTCATGGAACTTGTGGACACTTGTGCAACATCCAGTTGGGGTTTTACATGCTTCCAAGGGGAAAACCATAAGTTGCCAGAGCTAATTGACAAGGTGCTGGTTGCATGCTGGTGTTGCACCAAGTTCTGATCCTGATCACATACCCAGCACACCAGGAGCTAACCATGGGAATTTGCACAGTTCCTCTTATTTGCGCATAAAATGCCAGAAGTATTGGTTTATTGGTTTTTAAAAACTTTATTGCACTTCTATGCTGCCTTTATCCCAGCAAAGGGTAACACAAAGATTTTGGCCAGTGAGAGGAATTCCATTTGGAAGCAAAAACCTAAAAGTTTCAGAGCAAAACAGTGTCCCTTATGCTTTTTGGTCCATATAGGAAGTAGTGATAGTTCAAGAACTTCAGCAGAGTTACAGACATGTAGAGTTACATTGGGCAAAATATGCTCCATTTGAATCTCTATTCTTGGGAATATTTGTTATGTATTATAGAGTTAGAACTTGCTCTTATCTCCCAAAGAGACAATAGTGTTATTTGTGCTGAAGTAGTCACTAAGGCTACAATCCTAAATGCACTTTATTAAGTTGTATTGATCTTAGTAAGACTTATTTCTAAGCAGCAGTGTTGAAGGTGTAAGAGATTGTAACCTGTGTCCTTCAAAGGTCACTTTATGATGAGAGATTGATGACCAGTGATTTTGACCTTCATGAATGTGGTCTGCCAAAAGGTTCTGTGGTCACTGATGGACCCTGATGTTGCTGCTTCTGCTTCCTGTTTGGTAACTGAAGACCAAATTGACATTCCTCAAAGAAGCTGTGTTTGGCCAGTTGCTCATCCTTTGCTGGCCCATTATCTACTTGTCATCTTCATCATCATTGTGTGTTGTCAAGCGGCTTCCAATATATTGGAGCCCTGTGGATTAGTGACCTCCCAAATAGCCTGTCATTTCTCCGCAAATTAAATCTGTAAATAAAATGCCAAAGAGCATCCATGACTAATTACCTTTTTAAAATTGTTTTTCAATTTCAGAATACAATTACGGCATTGCACTGGTCACCCAAAGTGAGTGACTTGGTTGTGTCTGGTGATGAGAAGGGAATAGTAATTTGCTACTGGCATAATCGAAATGACAGCCAACAGTTCTTCCCAGAGCCCAGAATCATATTCTGTCTCACTTGTTCTCCACACCATGAAAATCTGGTGGCAATTGGGTAAGTACATCTAGGGTTACATAATTTGATGCAGGTTGCAATCCTACTTGGGAATAAGCCTGGGACCTTGGGACTCTTTGTGCACATAGCTTAAAGTTGTTGTTTTTTTAAAGTTAAAAAAAAGTGGTGCCTTGAGTTGCAAACTTACTTCGTTTCGTGATGATGGTCGTAACTGAAGTTGGTCGTAACTCAAAGCACATTTGCTATAGGAACACATTGAAATGCCATTAATCCTTTCTGGCCATAGGAACTAATGCAAAAGTGGTTAATCCGTCCACTAGGGCGAGACTTTTTTTAACCTAAAATGACCTCTAAGATTAAAAAAGGGGCAGGAAAGGAGGGAAGGAGCCTTTTTTCTGGTCATATCTCAGAGTGCCAGTCGCAAGTCAAAACAAAATTTTGTGACTAGCTGGTTGTAACTCAAATTGGTCGCAAGTCAAGATGTTCATCATTTCAGTTAATAAACATTGATATTTAAAATACAGGTATATGTAAGCTATATAATGTTACTGTTTTAGTTAAATGAAACAATTTAAGTTGTTCTGTGATTAACCTATTAAATTAAAATCAGTTCTGATATACTGTAGCTGTTATACTGTTATACTAATCTGACAGGTTATTATTCTAAATATGAAATCTTCATCCGGTTGCAAGTATTAAAGATTGTAGCTGCCAACAAGAATGAGGCTTTACATTTAAAAATCATGATTTAAATAAAGTTGTACTGACTAGTGATTTAAATTGACTTGATTAAAAACCAAATCCACCCTACTAGAAACCGAAGGTACTTTATGTCCAACAGTACTACAAGTTTGCTTGTTTTACAATTTTTGTAAAGTTGATTGAATGTTTTAAAAATCAGATTCTTGAATTTTGGTTATCTCTATTACTTTTATATGGACTATATATTTTCAACCACATCTTTGATGTATCATCTGCTTTCAGGAAAATTGTTCTTGACTGACTAGCAAATGGTCTGCTAGTTAGTCCAGCTGATTGTAATTCAGAATTGTTTCATAAACACTGGAGTCATTAAAACATTGAAAAACTTCTCAATTGTCTTTTGGTTATGAAAGCATGGGAAACATAGAAATCCAATAGTAAGCCACAACTAAACTAGGCCAGTTGACTCAGTGGAACTTAGCAAATTCCCATTGATTAAGTGGACCTACTCCAGTTGCAACAGACTTCTGGACTTCAGCTACTGTTGTGTATTCATATTTTGAATTCATATTTGCTAGAGTTTTTAATTTCTTTTAGCTGGCAGTCAATGTAAATTATTCCTTATGTAGCTTTTAGATGCATGTTGTCTGCTCCTTCCCTGCAGAGTAGGAAAAAAATGTTCCTTTCAAAAATGGTGGGGGGGGGCACATTTTATACAGACATAAACCAGTGTGGTATTATTTATTACCTGAAAATTGAAGTGCCTCTTTTTCAATAAAAATCCTTTATTTTAAGTTACAAAGATGGAATTGTGGTTGTTATCGACATCAGTAGAAAGGGAGATGTTGTCCATCGCTTGAGAGGTCATGACGATGAAATACATTCCCTAGCTTGGTGTCCTGTGCTTGGTGAGGAAGTTGTATGCAATCGACAAGAGGAGGTCCAAGGTACGTACATACGAACAGTTTCCCTCTAGCAATCTCCTTTCTTGTGTTATTTCTGCCAAGGGACACAAGGAATATTGGGGTTTTAATTTCACAATAATAGAAAGTGCTGTTTTAACTTGGTTTTACTTTTAACTTGGTTCTCAGCTTCACTTCTAAGCACTGCTGAAGGTGTGACAGAAGAAGCAGCTGTAACAAAAGGCTACTGCTTAGCCTCTGGAAGCAAAGATCAGACCATTCGTGTATGGAGCTGTACTAGAAACAGAGGTCGGTCTGGAGGATTTTGATGCCTTTTTTACAATGTGTGCAGTTTGTGTGTGACTCAGCATATTTGTTTCATGCTCTGCCATTTAAAGTATTAGTAGACCAGTACCAACAAATTGCAGCTATTGTTAATAACCCAAAGTGTAGGGCTCTGGTACCCTAAGAATGAGTGACAAGTGTTTCTTTCCTTAATTGATTTTTTTGGCGGTGACATGATTGAAGGGTGAGTAAAATAGAAAGTAGAACAATCACTTGTTTTAAATGAGGGACAGGTTTTCTTTATCAGAAAAAGCACAGTATAGTTCCATTCATGCTCAGGCAGAAATAAAACTCACTATTTTCATGTACCTTTGCAGATTTTACTGAGATTTTAGCCTGGCCTGAGAATGAAGGCTTCTGCTGTGGGAAGTCATGAGGTCAGGAGTTAGGACTGTAAGAACAGCTTATAAGCAAAATTGTTCACAGCTCTTTGGGTTACGAACCAAAACACTCTGAAATTGGGAGGCTCAAGTTCTCATGCTGGAGAGCAGTTATTTCATGTGTCTCTCTTGTTCTGATGTCAGTTGAGACTGGCCACCTATACACAGGAAAGGTATTTTATAACCATTCATCCTTCATGACCCCATAGCGGTAACCACGCTGAAATTACCCTTCTTGAAAAGAAGAGGTGGAAGCATTGAATCAGCTGTGAAAGAGCGTCTCTGGTTAACATTGCACTGGCCCCAACATCTGCCTACACAGATCTTTTCCAGCTGTTTTGGGTGAGTAGCCTCTTTGAGTTAATTTGACTAAATGCAGGGCAACGGGGATAGAAAAATAAGGATGTTTAATCCTTGTAAGGCATAGTAATTGGGAAAGCACACATGCATGCAATTTAGGCATTATTTTCTTGGCATTCTGCAGCTTACATGTTTCTGAAATTTTATTCAAAAGATGGCTTTTTTATTTCTAGGCTGCTTTTGTAGATGTATTTAAAACACAAAGTAGCTTTTCACTCTTTAGAATCTGTTTGTTTTTACTCATGTTCACTCTTCAAAAGATCAATTCTTTGTAAACTGAAATTATAATTCTCTTTATGTGTGTATCCACAGTTACTGCATTTCTTACTGTTCTTCACAGAGGTGAACTGCTACAGTGGGATTTGACCCAACCTGGGAAGCGGAAGTGGGAGCTTCTAGGGGCTTCATCAGAAGGACAGAACCATTCCAGAATCGTGTTCAATTTGTGTGGCCTGCAAACAGAGAACCAACAGTTACTTCTTTCCACTTCAATGGACAGGGACGTAAGTGTCATTTTAAAAGCATTTCAGAACTGTATTCATGTTCAGGGTGCTACGGATGTCCCTGTTGGGTTACCATTAGTGGCCATAAATCTTGCCTGGAAATCACCTTTTAATTTCTCTACACTCCCCAAATTTTCCACATACTGACAGTAAGTTTGAATTGGAAAAGTGTTTTTGTGCTGGGTTGATGTGTTATCTATCTGGTCACACCATTCTGGGAAAAAGTCAGAATGTAATGAATTGAATAAGACGAGTCCGACATTTACGTATATCTTTCTATATTTAAAAGTAGTTCACTTTTATCAAGAACACATTCAGGCTATCTGTTCCATGCTCTTGCTGCCTCATTCACCAGAGATAAGAAAAAGACTTCATGCTTTTTCTTATCTCTGGAGCTGCCAAATCCATTCTGATTTTTTACTTTTTCAACAACTTGTTAGTCTCATCTTTTATGCAAATGAATGTCTCACCTATGTATCATCCATGGTTCTTGCTATTTTGGTTTTATGATTATCTGGTGTTTTTAAAAATCCCATTTCATAGAAGAAATGAATGAAGGTTTAGTAATTTAGGTATTTCTGTGTCTCAAACTCAGCTTCACTTCTATTTTGTGGATAGGTTAAATTCTGGGGCATAGATCGCTCATGTTGGAATCCCCTTCTTAACAGCAGTGCTCCGATTTTGAAAATACTATACCTGTGGAGGGAGACTTTGTAGACAAACTTGGTTACTCTTAAATCTGTCAGTGGTTTTTGTTTCACTATATTCTCATGGAAATTTCATTAACAGTTTTCTGTCTCTCTTCAGGTAAAATGTTGGGACATGACAACTTTAAATTGCTGCTGGACAGTACCCTCTCTTGGGGGATTTGTTTACAGTCTGGCCTTTTCCCCTGTGGACACAGGCTGTCTTGCTGTAGGAGTTGGAGACAGCATGCTCAGGGTGTGGAACACCTTGTCCATTAACAACCAATATGATGTAAAAACCTTCTGGCAGGGCATTAAATCCAAGATCACAGCTGTAAGTGTGCACCTTACTTCTGGATTTTTCAGTGCTTAGTCATTTTGATTCCCAGAACTGACAGTGACCTGTAAATGCTTACTATATTGTATGTCATCATCATCATAGAACTGCAGAGCTGGAAGGAACCCAATGGATAGTCAAGTACAGCCCTTGCCAAAGAGACACAATGGCAAATCTAACTCCAACCTCTGGCTCTGCAGACAGATACCTAAACCACTGAATTACTTAACAGTTCTAATCCTAGGTTGCCACTTACACTATGTCTCCTGGTAAGATAGGGGGATGATCCTGCTTCCCTACCCCAGCAGCTGTGGGTCCTAAGGCTGCATCTGTTTTGATTTAAAAACAACTTTGCTAAACAAATCCCTTGTTCCCTGTAAGGTATGTGGTGGGGGGGACGATTTTCCCAAGTTTTGGTTTTCCCCAACAGACATCCTCTATATATTAAAAAAGTATATATGTATGGCCCCTAGAGGGCACAGGGGCACCCTTTCAGTTTTTTAAAAAATTTTTTTGTTAAACCTGTTTTTTTCAGTCAACAAAAATCTATTTGGTAGACTTTAAGCACATAACCACTGCATTTTCATTTTTAAAAAAACGCACACAACAATCTCCTCACTTAGTCCTGCTCCCGTGGTAGTGATGCCCTGGAGTCCTAGCAAATCTGAACAAAGGCCCTTGGCCCTCCTGAGATCACCCATTGCCATGATAAGATAACACTGATTTTGCTTTCATAGATACCATTCCCATCCAGTTACAGTTGCACAGTTTGGATTCAGATTAAATTAATGAAAGAAAAATGTTTGTAGCAACCAGAAATTCTGTTAACATTGAATAAACAGCCATCGGAGGTGCTTTTTAGGCATAACAAGGTCACAAACTAGAGCAGTGTTCAGAGTGATAAAAGTGATAATTTTGAACTCTGACTTGACCAAGCATAATTAGATTTTATTGTGCCATCAATAAGTAACTGCTATGCCAAGTGGCAGTGGCTAATGTTTCTGCTTGTTATACCATCAGCAGTTTCGACTGGAAAAGTAATCTTTATTGGGAAGTCCACTTCTGGACTGCAGCTCAGTTTTTGTTGTTGTTGCAAGGGGTTAGAAGGTGATGCACTCTTGTTTCTTTGAAATTGGCGCTACATGTTGCTCGAGATTGTATTGCATTATTGACCATGTCACAAAGAAGCAGGGTGAATAAAAATCAATTAAAAAATAATTGATTTAAATCATGATTTAAATTCTAATTTTTAAAAATCTAAATAATTAAAAAATCCAATTTTAAAATCAAATCCACCGTACCAAGAAGCTTTCCACAACTGTGCCAGCTAGTTTTTATGTCTACAGTCAGAAAAGTCATTACCTAAAATCAGTATCCAAAAAGAATTTAACCCTTGTGGCTTTTCCTATTGTTTACAGTTGTCTTGGCACCCAACAAAGGAAGGCTGTTTAGCCTTTGGAACAGATGATGGGAAAGTTGGTATCTATGACACTTACTCTAGCAAGTAAGATATGGTTCTGATTTTGTAAACCACAGTAAAGAATATAGTATTAATTTATAATATCAGAAAGTAATGTTCCTCTCAAATAATGTGAAGAGCATAATTACAGACCTTGTTGGATGTAATGCCAAAAATGTAAACAGTTTTCCGCAGCTTCTTTTTCTCCTTTAAATGTTAGCAGCATATACTATTGAGAAGTCATGTAAACATGAATATAATTTCCAAGTAAAGATTGCAATATGATTTCCTGTAATATTTAAGCCACATTAAACTGTTGGACATAGTTTTAAACTGCATAAAATCAAGATGGCATAATGTTGGGGGCTGACTTATTACTTGTAAGGCAAATGTGCTATATCAGATCATAGTTTATCTAAAGTAGTGGGGAAACTTTCTGAAAAATGTTCTAATTTAAGAGTTTCCAGAAAACACATTGCTTCCTCAGCTATCCTTATAGTTTGTTTTGAGTGTTACCCTAATCAGAATCCAGATTGTTCCATCAATTCATAATTGTAGATTGCCTGCCAGGAGTGTTGACATTAATGTGAGCCACATACCATGAGGTTTTTTTTTTCTTTTATAGCCCAAAGATTGGGAAATGGGTGGTTTATTTTCATATGGGCTTTAACAACAAATTCAGCCCCCTTGTTTTCCTAATTTGAATGTATTTTGTGTATCCAGGTATGTCCCTTTCAAAGTGAAAAGTATGCACAAAGTTGATCTTGGGAAGTTCTTCCTTTCAAAGTGAAAAGTACTGTATGCACAAAGTTGATCTTGGGAAGTTCTAATTGTACTACTATTCCCTGTCCCAGGAGAAGATACAGTGGTGCCTCGCATAACAATGTTATATTACCTGTCCCAGGAGAAGATATAGGAAAGTTCACCTGCAAATGAGTTATCAATAGTCTTGTCTTAAAACTTGAAGTGAATGAATGCAGAGGGATTTGAAAAGTGCAGGTGTTCTGCCCTCTGGCTTCTGGTCCGGTTTAATTATTTCTTCATCTGTTTGTGTTAGTAATTTTTTTCTCTTCAGTTTCTTGTATTTTACATTAGACAATGTGTGATCAATATAGTTTCTTGAAAGATGACACCCATTCTCTCACATATGCTCATTAGGCCCCCACAGATCTCCAGTACTTTCCACAAGAAAACTGTGTATACATTAGCATGGGGACCTCCTGTTCCTCCACTGTCTTTTGGTGAGTGTTGGGAATCATATCTATGGTAGATGAAGCTGTTTTTATTGGTACAAATGCTTTTCTTAAAATGCTCTAAGACAATGGTTCACAACCTTGGGTCCCCAGATGCTCTTGGACAAAACCTCCCACATCCGATCACCACTAGCTATGCTGACCAGGATTTCTGGGAGTTGTAGTCCAAGAATATCTGGGTTACCCAAGGTTGGGAAGCACTGCTGAACTTGAAGTGAACGAATGCAGAGGGTTGTGAAAAGTGTAGGTGTTCTGCTCTCTGACTTCTGGTCCGGTTTAATTATTTCTTCATTTGTTTGTGTTAGTAATTTTTTCTCTTCATATTCTTGTATTTTACATTAGACAATGTGTGATCAATATAGTTTCTTGAAAGATGACACCCATTCTCTCACATATGCTCATTAGGCCCCCACAGATCTCCAGTACTTTCCACAAGAAAACTGTGTATACATTAGCATGGGGACCTCCTGTTCCTCCACTGTCTTTTGGTGAGTGTTGGGAATCATATCTATGGTAGATGAAGCTGTTTTTATTGGTACAAATGCTTTTCTTAAAATGCTCTAAGACAATGGTTCACAACCTTGGGTCCCCAGATGCTCTTGGACAAAACCTCCCACATCCGATCACCACTAGCTATGCTGACCAGGATTTCTGGGAGTTGTAGTCCAAGAATATCTGGGTTACCCAAGGTTGGGAAGCACTGCTCTAAGAGAAAGTACGATCCAGCCCACAAACAATGTATTGGAAAGGCTGGGAATGTCCTGCAAGTTTGTAAACACTCCCTGCCACTGCTGAATTCACTGAGCTGATTTCAAAATTATGAGAAACCTGTAGAAGAGGATGATTTTTTTCCTTTGCTGGAGTAAAATTCATGGGCTCCTTTTCTAAATATTGCCATGCAGTGGTGCTCTCTAGTGAAAGAGATCACCTTTGTTCATGAGGAATTTTGTGAACCATTTGTCCATCCAGCTGAATCTTTCTCAGGGGATTTGGGTATAGTTTTTTTCTGTGAGAACCACATCTGATCCTTAGTAAAAGATCTGAGGTCCAAGGGCTAAATGCTTGGGCACTTTAAAACACTTATATTCCTTGGATCTTCTCAAACATTTCAGCTCATTTGATGTTGCTTATGGCTTCATATTGTAGATGCACTAGAAGTGCTACATCTCAACCATCTGCACACATGTAGTTTCAGTCTCATTCACACTGTGCATATGTTGTGGAAAGCTAAACCTGATTTTAGTTCTAGTAGTCAGACAACACAGACTAATAGTGAACATGTACCTGTCTAAATCCTTCCTAACTAAAGCAGTTCACAGGCTGGAATAATACTTATCATTTTGGGTATTTTGTATTTGTCTGCATAAATAAGAGTAGAAAACTTATTAATTCACTTGAGGGCTCTTAGTTTTATTGCACATAAAGGCTACTTGAGATTTTTGGTTTGACTGTATCGGGAATATTATGGTGTGCAAGTATAGGACATACAGGTTTGAGACCAATGTGTCTGTACAAAGTCCATAAGTGACAAGGAGATCTCTGGCTCTCTATAATTTGTGACATGGGGTTTGTTTCTTGGGTTATATTATGCAACACATAAATGTTTAAAGAGTGACAGAACCATATTATACGTACCACCAGAGCTTCGGGCTTAATATATCTTTTTGTAGACCAGTTGGTAAATCTTTGACACTAATATTGAGAGTGTACACTTGTGAAAAGAGGAGCTAGCATGATGCATTTTTCTCTTGCAGGAGGAGATGGTGATAGGCCTTCGGTAACCCTATACAGCTGTGCGGGAGAAGGAATTGTCTTCCAGCACAACCCTTGGAAACTTAGTGGAGAAGCTCATGACATCAACAAAGTCATTCGGGAAACCAACTCAGTCAAAGTGAGCAAGCATCCATGTTTTGACATGCTGTCCAGTTGCTTCTGGTTTATTATGGTCCTATGAATTAGTGATTTCTATTCACAGATTGCTCACGTCTTGCAGACTCAAGGGCGCAGCTTTATTTACTGGATCAATGTATCTATCTAATCTTCCTATTTTCTTCCTGCTTTCACCTTTTAGCAGTGTTACTGTCCTTTCCACTGATTCTTCTCTTTTCAAGATGTGTCCAAAACAGGATAGCCTTAGATTATTCCTTTTCCCTGCTGTGAATGTAAAAGTCATGGATCAGACTTACGCATATTCTCCATATCTGTTGTATTGCAGTTGTGACAGAGAGATCCCTGATGCTTGCAGATTTGAAGCATCGGGTAATGTGGATTGGCTCCTCAAGGAACTGGGCCATTTGCAGCCCAGCTTTTGCTAGGAAATACAACTTGTCTTTTTAGTTCTCATTCAAATTTCAAACAAGGCAGACCGTAACCAGGAAAGAAGCTCAGCCTGGTTGCGAAGTTAAAGGATAGGGAGTTTAATATAAAGTAGCTGAAGAGAGACAGGATGTAGAAGAATTTCTGGGCTCCTGAAATGTGTAGCTTTAAACTTCTAATTTTAAGAGGAACAGCATGTCTTGGAAGTAGAGCACAGTATTACATCAATTGGTCCAATCAGGGTCAGTCCAGTATATTTTTCAGGTGCGCCCCCCCATTTTACATATAGAAACGAGCTGGACTTGGCAGTTGGCTCTGACATCAGCTCTAAGTAACTAGATGTTACCGTCTCCACATCTAAGGGCGGCAGGTTGGTTTATGAGGCTGAAGACAGGCTGTATGGTGCACTTCATCCTGTCCGCTAAGAAAAGGAGATGGCCAGGAACTCAGGCTGAATGGTAGGCTGCTGCCCCAAGCTTTCACTATACAGTGGTACCTTGCTAAACGATGAATCCGCATAACAATGACTTTTTGCGATTGCTATAGTGATTCGCAAAACAGTCATTCCAATGGGGGTTTTTTGCTGGACGTCGATTAGGTCCGTGTTCACAAGACGATGCTTTTTTTCGGCTCCGCAAAATGGCTGCCCTGTGTTTTCCGGACCCATGTTTCGCAGGGCAGCTATTTTTACAGCTCATCAGTGCTCGCAAAATGGCTTCCCTATGGGCAATCTTCACTGGACGATGAGATACTTTCCCCATTGGAATGCATTAAACCAGGTTTCAATGCATTCCAATGGGGAAAGGGTTTTCGCATGATGATGATTTCGCTAAACAGCGATTTTCACGGGACGGATTATCGTCATGCGGGGCACCACTGTAATCTTCTGTCTCAGGCAGTTACCCCATTCTTCTTAATGGGAGAACCAGCAATGAGTCCTTACTTGGTGATTAAATTGGAACAGCATAGGTCTCCATGCAGGTTCCCACTAAGTCGGGAGCATGTGTGGATGCTCATGACTCCACTTCCCTCTGTGCAGCTCTCTTTTCTGCGCAGCAGTTGTTGGAGGTTCCAGTTGCAATGGAACCCAGCATGCCGGGGGGCGGGGGCAGAGTTGCGTGCACAGATGCTCATGAGAGGCGGAGCCCCACTTAGTGTGGCTGAAAATTAGAGGGTATGTTGGTCTCCATGTTTCAGTCTGTTGCCTATAAGAATGGGTTGAAGAAAATAGGATAAAGTAAAGCTGAAGCAAAATTATGCAGCCACAATAGAAGGAAATGGCCAAGTATTTGTTAGTAGGAGGAGGTAAAGAAAATTTTGCACTTGTAGAGGGCTAGGTCTAGAGTAAAGATCTAAATGGAAGAATTTGCCAATGGTATCTTCTGTTACTGCAGTATAATAACCACAAGAGGGCAACAAGAGTAAGATAATAGTGAGAGTGTGCTTGTGGAGGAACTAAAGCCCACACTCAGTTGACTGCCATATTTAGCTGCTATCCTTGCTATGACACTAAATCTTTAGTAAATTTAAAACATTTGAAATTCTCAGTCTTCTGTTGAAACATGGTGTTTTAAAACCTGTAAACAGACTGAATTCTGAACACATCTATCTCACATTGAATCCCCTCTCCTTATGACAGGATGCCTTATTAAATCTCTTCTGGTAAAATTGCCAGCCATTCTTGTTACACATGAATAAATTATTGGCACAGTAAAACTTAACAGAACAATGGAGTTAGATTTGGATTAAAGATCTGCCAGATGTTGGCTGGTCTTTATTTTTTTCTTTGTCTCAAACACGCACATTTAATTTCAAAAGGATGATGTGCATCTTCTTTCTGGGATAAGCAGGGAGCAAGGAGTGTCAGAGTTGGAATGTAGTAGAGATTCTATTCCACGTCTTCAGAATGTTTCTTAATTCTGTTCTAGTTGTTATATTTACTTCCGTGGAGATGTTCCAATAGCCATACTGTATTCTTCTCATGTGCATTCATATAGTGAGATGCATGGTTCAGACTCTGTAATTTCTCATGGAGGCTGTTTTGGGCTCCCTCTCCCAGATAGTTCGGATAAATTCAGTCTAGCTACAAAGTGAAAAACAGAAATAAATGATTTCAGGAGAATGAAATAGCTGGTGCTCCTGCGGATGATTATTATTGCCCTGACTGCTTTCAGATGAGTCTTTGACTGTGCAATTGCACTGATCTATTCAAGGAAATTTGTGGAAGGGCCAGATAACAATTTGCAGCCCTTCTATGTTTTATCTTTGATTATACTGTGGTTTGTTTTTTCTTACCAGTAAGAGTGGTCAAAAGACTTGCCACATAGTATCTTTGAATTATACATGATAGGATGCTTTTTGATGCCTCCTTGTTATCCTCTGCTGTCTTTTTATCCTTTTATCATGTATTTTTAGAGAACCTGTGAACATAGATTTCAGAACTATTAAGTTTCCATGGTTTTCATCTTCTTTCTTTTTAGTACAAATTACCAGCACACACAGAGATCAGCTGGAAGCCTGATGGCAGCACCTTGGCTATTGGTAATGAAGATGGGTATGTGCAAAAATTTTAACTGAATGCTAGGTTGTCATTTGCAGGAGGAACAGTGGTCAGTCAGCATGAAGAAAACTTAGTGTACTTACCCCTGCCTTGTTTTATTTTATTTGTTTTAAATCTGTGATAGTTCTACCTTTTGGAAGGGAGAAGTAGTTTCCTGGCCATGTAATAGCAGCAGCTAGTAAATGTAATGCTCATTTGTTTCAGTTGGTGACAGAATGTGATCATACATTGAAAGAAAAGAATAGGAAACTTGTTTTAGTAGAAGACCTAAAACACTGGGTCTTAACCTTGGGTTACTCAGGAGTTTTGGACTGCAACTCCCAGAAGCCTTCACCACCAACTGTGCTGGCTGGGGTTTCTGGGAGTTGCAGTTCAAAAACATCCGAGTAACAAAGGTTAAGAACCACTGACCTAAAGCAGCAAGCAATAAAAATTGTGTTGTGTTCAAAAAGTTAACAATCTCAGTTTTGTAGTGAGCCATGGTCTTAACATTTAATGAATTGTTGCTAGCCTGGAACTTGCATGGTTCCTTTTTTTTCACTCCCAAAAGGCTACCAGGAATTTAGAAGTTTTGCTTCCCATTTCAGTTGATTTCAGTTTAGTGTTATATGTACATGGTGTTCTACTATTTCATATGTACAGGTTGGCATAAAGCAAGGTAAACTCAGAGGACATTAAACACCCAGAGAACTCTGCTATAGTCCTTCACAGTGTGTCAGCATTACAAAATACTACTTGACAGCATAAACTAAAAGAATAGGCACAGATATTGAGTCGGACCCACATTTTAGTTGACTCAAAATGCCACTAACCAGTTAACATTCAAAATGTGATAGGTTAACCTATCCCTTTCATTCTCTCACCATCTACAGTGGTGCCTCGCATAACGATGTTAATTGGTTCCAAAAAAACTCATCGCTATGGGAAACATCGTTATGCGAAACGCGTTTTCCCATAGAGATGCATTGAAAACTGGTTAATCCGTTCCAATAGGAACAGATTACCGTCCTTAAGCGAAAAAACCCATTGGAAACATCGTTATGCGATACAATGTTTCCCCCATTGGAATGCATTGAAGCCTTTTCAGTGCTTTTCAATGGTTTAGCGAAGTCAATGTTTGCAAATTTAAGTGTGTCATAAAAGGGTCAAAAATGTTTTTAAATGCTTAGAATAGCTTCTGCACCTTCTAAAACGGGTGCAAACCTAATTTGGCTTTGATCTGACTTTTCGTTAATTTTTGCAGCATTTTTTTCTTCCCCACCAACTTTTGACAGCTGTCAAAATTTGACAGCTCCATTATTTCCTGTGGGGGAGGGAAAAATTCACAAAAAATTACCGAAGACTCAGAACAAAGCCAAACATAGCTTGCACGTGATTTAGAAGGCCCTCTAACGAACCCAAGCATTTAGAACCGTTTTTGACCATTTAAAGACACTTTTTAAAATGAAAAAACAAACATCGCTATGTGAAACAGGGGACCTAAAAACGCATTCGCTATGCGAAGCATGGTCCCAAACTTTGCTAAGCGAAAATCGCCCATAGGAAACATTGTTAAATGGTGCATATTATTTTCTAAGAAAACCCATCGTTATGCGAATTCATGGCTAAACGAGGCACTCTGTATTTTCTTACAATTTAGTTTGTGGGCTGTGAGCACGATCCTAAGCCCAAGGCAGCATACATCCTTGAAAGATAGTACAGTGGTGCTTCATTTAGCGACATTAATTCGTTCCGCAAAAATCGCTGCAGAATGAAAATGTCACTATGCGATATTAAAAAGCCCATAGAAACACATTGAAACCCCTTCAATGCGTTCCTATGGGCTTAAAACTCACCGTTGAGAGAAGATCCTCAGCACCGCCATTTTCGGTGCCTCTAAAGCGAGAAATCTGTCCCTAAACACAGCGGGTGGCCATGTTTTTTTCCCAGCGGCCATTTTGAAACCGCCGATCAGCTGTGCGAAAATGGGCTGTGCGAAATTTCCCCATAGAGAACATCGCAAAGCGATCGCTTTTGCAATCGCAAAAACAGCGTCACTAAGCAATTTCATCGCTAAACGGAGCGATCGCTAAGCGAGGCACCACTGTATTTAAAGTTGAAAACGAGTATACAATGGTGGTTAATATCATTAAAAGACAATAGTTAAAGCTAAGAACAATAAGCATACAAATATTTTTTAAATACCACTCTGAGAAATTGAAAGCACAAAAATAGAAAATCCAAGGAGTACTAAAAATCCAGTCAAAGCAGTAATGCATAACAATCCATCTAAAAATCAAACACAGGTAGCTGGTTTACTGAGGAAAGGATTGCCAGAGGAGAAAGGACTTTGCTTGCTTGTGGAAGGACAGCAAAGATGGGGCCAACCTGGCTTCCTGTGGGAGGGAGTTCCAACATCTGAGAGAAGCAACAGAAGGCTTTTTTCCTGTGTCGAGACCAAGAGAAAAGCATCTGATGATCTTAACAAATGAGCCAGCTCAAAATGGGAGATACAGTCTTTGAGATAGCATGGACTCAGGCCTTTTAGGGATTTATAGGTCAAAACCAGCACTTTGAAATATGCCCAGAAACTGATCAGCAGTCAGTGCAGCTGCTGTAATGGGTCGGGGTGGAGTGGGGGTTATGTGATCCTTGTAACCAGCCCCAGTCAGAAATCTGGCTGCAGCATTTTGGATCTGCTGAAGTTTGTTAACACTTTTCATCAGCAGCCCCACATAGAGTGCATTACAGTAATCCACCCAGGAAGTAACTAGGGTGAACAAATCTCTTGAGGAATAGATGTAGCTGGTGCAGTAGTTTTAATTGTTCAAATGCACTCCTGGCCACCACTGAGACCTGGGCATCCAGGTTCAGAGATGCATCTAGGAGCATGCCCAAGCTGTGCACCTATTTTTTTTTAATGGGAGTGTAACCCCATCCAGTACAGGCTTCATCCCTATTGTATTCGTGAAGGCTTTCACGGCCGGGATCTAATGGTTGTTGTGGGTTTTTTGGGCTCTTTGGCCGTGTTCTGAAGGTTGTTCTTCCTAACGTTTCGCCAGTCTCTGTGGCCGGCATCTTCAGAGG